GCTCCCAGTCTTGCAGGAGATCCGTAATCCTGGGGTCTCAGAGGCCTCAGGGATAACTTCCACTGACACAAAAATCTATGATGGGCATCGGTCCTTATTAACCAGTTCAGGTGTAGTTGACAGTGAACCATGCGATCGGGAGCGTGAACAGCCCCTCGCACCCCCACATCCTCCCCTCCCCCATTCAACAAAGAGGTCAAGGTACCCAGCAGGGGAAACCCAAATGACTCTCGGGCAGGCTATAGCTTTTTAGTGACAACAGAAAGATTTCGCCATCCCAGCTGGGCATCTTCTTCCCCAAATCAGAGATCATTTCACAAGGGGAGACGATATGGAGAAAGCACCCTGCAGGGGAGAGCAGCACCAAGGAAGCCGTGCAGAGCCAGCAGCAGAGTGGACGAACCCACAGCAGAGCAAGAGCAGACCAGCAACCCACACCCACAGAGCAGGGGAACCGCAGAACAAAAGCAGTCCATTTCCAAGAGGCCCAGCACCAGATTCTCCCCTTGGTCTCTGCAAGGCACCCCAGAAGCCCGGAAGCCGACCATAACTCACCATCCACGAGGCCACCACACCAAGAAGAGCGCAGCGACTTCCCCTTTGCTGAGAGGGTCTGACTCCCTTCCCTTCTCTATGAGTTACTGCCTATGACGTGCCACAGTCACACTCTAAGCCCTGGGGACCACTGTCCTGTGACCTGCCTCAGGGCCTGAGTTAGTGTTGGCTCCTCCGATCCTCAAACCAAAGGAGAGAACACTAGTCCTGGAGCAGAGCCCAAACCCCACCGTACAGCAGGGCCAAGGTCGAGGCGTTCTGAAATTCATATTCCCAGCACCAACCCCCAGGGACTCCAGTTCAGTAGGTCAGGGGTGAAGCCCAGGCACCTGCCCTGTAAACAAGGTACCAGGGCAGCACCAATGGCCAGCCCAGCTCGGGAGCCAGTCACTAGAGAACTCCATGAAGCTTCATTTTTCTCTGATCCTTTCTCTTCTGCAACTTTACTTATTCCTTGTCTCAACATGCAAGAGGACAGTGGAGATGGAGAACAGAAGAAAGTGAGGTCCCAAAGTGAGCTGCCCCAAGCTCACCCAAGGCAGTCAACCTCTCTGAGCCCCAGTTTTCACATCCGCAAAATGGCAGTAAGACTACCTGCCCACACAGAAGAAATGCACATAGGACATCCTGCCATGTGCAACAGAGTGGGTAAACCTGGAGGACATCATGCCAAGTGAAATAAGCCAGACCTGGAGACGAGTACTGCATGATCTCACTGATACCTGAAACTAAAAATGTCACACTCAGAAGCAGATAATAGAACGGTGGCTACCAGGGCCAGAGCAAGGAAAGAAGGGGGGAAATGTCAGCCAAAGGGCTCAAACTTCCAGTTATAAAATGAATGAATTCTGGCAGATTGAATGTATAGCATGGTGACTATAGTTAATAGTAGTTTTTACTTAAAACTTGCTAAGAGTAGATGTTAAGGGTCCTACCCTCCCCCAACACACACACCACACACACACACACACACACACACACACACACACCACATAAATTTTTTTTAAAGAAAGATTTTTCTTAGTATTTATTTCTTTTAGTTGTACACAATGCATTTATTTTTATTTATTTATTTTTATGTGGTTCTGGGAATCAAACCCAGGGCCTTGCACGCACCAGGCAAGCATTCTACCACTGAGCCACAACCTCAGTCCCTACCACATAAATTTTTAACTGTGGTAATCATTTCATGGTGTATACTTACTGCAAATCATTGCAAACCTTGAATGTATTCCATTTTTTTGTTAATTAAACCTTGAATTATTCAATTTTTGTTAATTATACCTCAATAAAACTATAAAAACATAAATAAATAAATAAATAAATACATTTAGGAAAAGACTTTAGAATCCATTTGATTAGCAGAAAGCATTTTTCAATATCCCTACTGTTTTTCTTTTAAATTTCAGTCTAATATGAAAATTAGGATGCTAATATCAACAAAGGAAGGCCCGATGTGGACACCTCCCTCCATAATTTTTCATGGGAACCAAGGGTGAAATACATTACAATTTTTGGGTGTCATCAGAGCTCTGAAACACAAAGGTCAAGGAGCGGGGGTGTGGTGGGGAGCAAGCATAAAATAATGCAAAGAAAAAGAGAAACAAGGGCTGGGGCTAGGGCTCACACGTGAGGTGCTGCATTCGATCCTCAGCATCACATGAAAATAAATAAAAAATAAAATAAAGAGATTGTGTCCAACTACAAAAAAATTAACAACAACAACAACAACAAAAAAGCAAACAAGATCTCCACTGTAATACCAAATCAAAGTGGGAGAAGTAGGTTCAGGGCTTCCCGCCGTCCTCAGCACACCCCTGCAACAGCAGATGAGAACTTCTGAAGCAAAACTCAGCGTCGCCCACTGAGTCCTTTCCCACACAGTCTCACAGAGTCTATTTTTGTATTCCAGTGAGATTTGCAGCAAAGAATAGAGCTCCAGTAAAAGAGGAAATAATTGCTGTGCCGTACCTGGGGTTTTCTCACTTCCTTATTTGAAAATAATCACCCAACAAGTCCAAAAAAATTCAGAATGGTACACTCTTTTACACACTGACATCTATCATTGCAGACATTCTGGAACTAAACCAAGTCAGCTGAGAGGTTCTGGGTAATTTGCCATCTTCTTACAAAACTTATAATGTTATATTACAGCACAAGGAACCAGAATAAACCTTCCCAATCATCTGGTCCAACCCCATCCTTTTACAAAGGAAGAACATGGGAAATAAGCTGGCTGCTCCAACTCACCAAAGACCCTAATTAAAACATCTGCTCAATCTTAAGGTGGCTGCCAAATTCGGAGAGGGAGTGGGAAATAAAGTTAAACCTCCCAAACATTTTTAGTGGAATAGTAATGATGATCAAGGGGCCTATTAAATGACAAAAGAGGAAGGTTCATAGCAGCAGTAGTACCCCCATCTCAAAGTCTGGGCCACTTATGTCTGGAGAACTGAGAGATGAACAACTGTCAGAGTGAACATGATAAATCTGTGAGGAGAGGAAGAGAATGTAGGGACCTAATCAGCACACGCTGGCCTGAGTTATACCTAAACCAATGGATGCCCAGTAGCTGCCCTACCTTGATGGGATGCTGCCTCATTTTCAGAAAGGTGAAGATTTGAGAAAATGGTTCGTGCACAGCAGAGGTACATGACTACTGACCCCACACGAGAGGGGCAGTTTAGACCTTGGCCACCAACAGCAGCAGCACCAGGGAGCTTATGAGAAATGCAGAATTTTAGCTCCACCCCAAAGTCAGAGTCAGACTATGCACATGGACAAAATCCCCAGGCCCTTCTGTGCACAGAAAAGTTTTGAGAAGCCTTTCTTTATCTAACACAGCAGAAAACTAAAGTGTACCTGACTACCTGTAACCACCTTTAACCTAAGTTTCCACGCCCATCTTCTCTTTCCTATAATTTCATTTGTCCCTGTAGCCATTGATTCTGAACTGCAGAGACTTCCCACTAAGCAGCTTATTTTAATCGCCCATCAAAATAATTTCTTTCTGATGAGAGGTTATTTGTTCTCAGAACAGAAACACCACTGTGAAACATTTCATTCTTTCCGAAACACTTGACGTTAAAAGCTCACAGTAGACTGAGACAGAGTCTTTATTTAAAAAGTAAAATATTAGAGGAGATCAAGTTTTCCAGGCATTTCATCACTGGATGCTTCCAAACAATATTCAAAGAATTCTTTTTACTACGTTGTGTGTGTGCGTGCACCTGCGCACATTGGGGATTGAACTAAGTAAGGGCTTCATGCATCCTAAGCATGCACTCTACCACTGGTCTACACTCACAGCCCTTTATTTTTCATAACATCACCACTGTGATGTTTTAAAGAACAATCCGTTAGAGAGTCCAGTGTGAGGTGTCAGTACGATGACAATATATCCATGGAGCTCTGAATGAGGGGTAGGCAGTTCACATTCTGCCCATGAGGTCATAATGGACTGCTACCATGACATAAACTCATCTGCAGAAACAACCATTTGGGTCTGTTCTTCTTTGGGTCTGTGTAGGTAGCTCCCCCAGCAATGAAATGCCATCATGCACATATGAATTATGTGCTTTTTCTATCATCATGTCCCTCTAAAGTAAAGAGAAACAACCTCTAGGAAAACTACCAATCCAGATCCCAGACATTTCGGGTGAGACATCTTTTTCATTAACAGTCATTTCTATTACAAAGTGAGCAAAGCTCTATGTTAAGAGACCTGCTCAAGTTTACGAGTTTAGAGTAGGCTATTCCCGTGACGAGAGCACCTTGGGAAGCTACGCTACCTTTTTAAGGTCACTAAGAATTCATAAATTCTTGATTCATTTTCATCAGATAGGTCAGGATTGGATGAGTCGAATTAAGGCCCAAGTCACACCAGGGATCACTGAGGCACAGTTAAATGAAGCCCTTAATTTTCCAAGCTCCTGGGTTAGTGTCAGGAGACTAGATGATCCATGAATAGCCCACAGCAAGGCAAAAACCAGAAGACCAAAAGAGGAAGAGAGGCCGTGACATGCATCCATCCGGGTATGACTTCTGCTACTATTAATCAGAGCATGTGTCACACTTCCTGGGGACACTGACGTTACTATCTCTGGCAGAAAGGATTGGAATTTTCGCACTTTAAAAGGAGAAGCAGGGCAAGAGACAGAAGCTAGGCTGGCGGGCAGCAGAGAGGAGGAGGGCTGCTTCTCCATAAACATGTTCTCCAAAAGGGACGCCTTTTCATCAGAAATGTCAGGGTCATGTGACAATAACACGGAATTGACCAAGCATGAGGGCTGGCAGCCGCGTTCCTCACTCCTATACCAAACTGAGTCTCTGCCTTCCACCCTGCCTGTTCCATGCTGGAACCTGTCCTGTGTCTTGCAAGGCATAGAAAATTCCAGAAACAAGACTTTTGCCCTAGTATAGAACACCAGAGAAGAAATCCTTACCTTCAGAAATGGCTTTCCTCATGGCCTCCAGGTAGATCTCAGGCTCGTCGTCACAGGTGAGCTCCTGCCAGTGGGTCCAGTTGGGGAAGAAGTGCGAGAATTCCTCCTCACTGCCCTGAACCCCACACAGCAGCCTGACCACGCGTCGTGGCGGCTGGAAGGCCCTCTGCAGCACAGGCAGCAGCGCAGGCTGGTAGAAGTGCTGCACCAGCTCTGCAGACAGCAGCACCAACACGCAGCGGGGGCTCAGGAAGAGGTGCAGGTCCTCGGCAGAAAAGGAGGTCTGGGGGCCCAGCCGGTGTGTCAGCATCTTCCGGCTGCGGACCTGCCGACTGGTCAGGAAAAGGTCCTGGAGGTATTGGCACCATTCCTCTGCATCCGGGCTGTAGATTATGAGGATGTCACATCTTCTGGGCACCCCTGGGCAAGAAGGAGGCAGGGACGCTTGTTAACACACTTGCTCCTTCTAGGAGGTTTCCCACAACCAGCAAGGATGTAGCGTCCAGGCAAGGGGCCTGACACCAGTTGTCATCCGCCTCCCGCAGTAAATGTGTGCCAGTCATTCCTCCCAGGCAGCAGAGGTGCAGTCTGGGATTACAACTGCAATAATTGTAGCAACAACAACATTGTATAGCTCTCACTGTTTCCTGCTCTCTTTTTAGCACACTGCCTATGTAAGGTGCCCCTCCCCACACCTGGTCTGTAACATGAACTTTCTTCTTCTCCCTCTATTAAAGTACAAATGCAGAAACAGGGGCCAAAGGGGCTTTGGGGATCACTTGGACCAACTCTCATTTGCACATGAAAGAAACACTTGTCTGGGAATATTAAGAGTCTTGCTCGAATTCACACTCAGCAAATTGGTGGCACAGTTGGGATGCACACTCAGGGTGACCCTGGGCTACCAGTCCAGGCTTTGGCCAGCCCCTGCTGCCTCCCCTCAGGACCTCTGTCAAGAATCTTAGAAGAGATTCATCAAGGAAAGAAAACCTCAGGCCGACATCCCTGATGAACATTGACACAAAAATTCTCAACGAATGCTAGCAAATCGCATACAAAAACATATTAAAAAGACAATCAAGTGGGATTCATCCCAAGGATGCAAGGTTTGGTTCAACATACAGAAATCAATAAACGTAATTCACCACATCAACAGACTTAATGACAAGAATCACATGATTATCTCAATAAATGCAGAAAAAGCATTTGACAAAAATTAGCATCCACTCATGCTCAAAACACTTTAAAAAAAAAAACTAGGAATAGTCAGGACATACCTCAACAATTTAAAAGCTATAAACACTGAACCAAGGCCAACGCCATTTTAACTGGAGAAAAACTGAAAGCATTCCCTCTAAAAACTGGAACAAGACAGGAATGCCCTCTCTTACCACTCCTATTCAACATAGTCCTCGAAACCCTAGCCAGAGCAATCAGATGAAAGAAAGAAATTAAAGGGATAGGAAAAGATATATCAACTGAAAGAGAAATTAGGAAAATTACTCCTTTTATAATAGACAAAAAAAATGGGAATCAACCTAACCAAAGAGGTGAAAGACCTCTACAATGAAAACTACAGAATACTAAAAGAAATTGAAGCAGACTTCATAAAATTGAAGGATCTCCCATGTTCCTGGATAGACAGAATTAATATTATCAAAATGGCCATACTACCAAAAGTGCTATACAGATTTAATGCAAGGCCTATAAAGATCCCAATGACATTCTTCATAGAAATAGAAAAATCAGTCATAAAATTCGTTGGGAAAAATAAAAAGCCCAGAATAGCCAAAGCAATCCTTAGCACAAAAAGTGATGCAGAAACATCATAATACCAGACCTGAAATTATACTACAAAGCCATAGTAACAAAACCAGCATGGTATTGGCACCAAAACAGACATGAAGACCAATGGAACAGAATAGAAGAAACAGAGACAAACCTATATAAATACAGTTATCTCATCCTAGACAGAGGCGCCATAAACATACAGTGGAGAAAAAAACAGCCTTTTCAACAAATGGTGCTGGGCAAACTGGAAATCCATATGTAATAGAATGAAATTGAACCTCTATATCTCACCCTACACATGTGGATCAAGGACCTAGGCATTAGACCACAGACTCTGCACTTACTAGAAGAAAAAGTAGACTCAACTTTCCAACATGTTGGCTTAGGAACCAAATTTCTCAACAAGACTTCTAAAGCATAAGAAGTTAAATCAAGAATCAATAAATGGGATGATATCAAACTGAAAAGCTTCACAGCAAAGGAAACAATCAAGAATATGTACAAAGATCCTACAGAATGGGAGAAAATCTTTGCCACCCGCACCTTAAATAAGGCATTAATTTCCGGTACATACAAAGAGCTCAAAAAACTTAAGAAAAATAAGTAACCCAAACAATAAATTGGTAAAGAAACTGAACAAACACTTCTCAGAAGGTGATATACAATCAACCAACAAATGTATTAAAAAATGTTTCAACATCCCTCGAAATTAGAGAAATGAAAAGATTCCATCTCATTCTAGTCAGAATGGCAGTTATAAAGAATATAAGTAACAATAAATGTTGGGGAGGATGTGGGGAGAAAGGTACACTCATACATTGTTGGTGGAACTGTGAATTGGAACAACCACTATGGAAAGCAGTATGGAAATTCCTTAAAGAACTTGAAGTGGAACCACCATTTGACTCAGATATCCCACTCCTTGGTCTATACCCAAAGGACTTAAAAACAGCATTTCTTCAGTGATGCAGCCACATCAATGTTTATAGCAGCTCAACTCATAATAGCCAAGCTATAGAAACAACCTATGTATCCCCCAATGGATACACGGATAAAGAAAATGTGGCATATATACACAATGAAATATTATTCGGCTATAAAGAAGAATGAGATTATGGCATTTGCCGGTAAATGGATGGAACTGGAGAATATCATGCTAAGTGAAATAAGCCAATCCCCAAAAAACAAAGGCAGACTATTCTCTCTGATTTGTGGATGCTAACCCAAAACAATAAAGGTTGGGGAGGGGAATAATAGAAATCCATTGGATTAGACAAAGGGAAATGTAGAAGATAAACTATTAACATAGGTTAGTATAGCTCTGGGTTCTTGTCTCCACTGTTTTAATCCACGGTTTGGGGAATGATTTGGAAGAGATGAGCACAGTGTCCACACATCTCTTAATGAGGCTGGACCCTTCCTCCTCATCACAGAAGGAAGGTGGTCACATTTTGTGAAACTGAGAAATCATCTAAGTTGTAGATTTTCACCATTAAATGACATTCCTAGACCACAGATCACTGAGCAGTTCCAAGAGAGGAGGTCACAGGCAGACCTGGGGAAAGACCAGGAAGCTTGAAGCTCTGAAGAGATCATGGGAGGACTCCTCTTTCTTGCCCCTATCCACCATTATATTCAAAGTTTAAAAACGATAAAAATGTAAGCCTGGCGAAGCATCAAAGGCCTATAATCCCAGCAGCTCAGGAGGCGGAGGGAGGAGAACCACAAGTTCAAAGCCAATCTCAGCAACTTAGCGAGGTGCTAAGCAACTCAGTGAAACCCTGTCTCTAAAAATATATAAAAAAGGATGGGGATGTGGCTCAGTGGTCGAGTCCCCCTGAGTTCAATCCCTACCCACCCGTCCCCTGCCAAAAAAAAAAAATGAAAATGTAAACCCAAAACTGCTCTGATTTCCCCTAGGATAATATTACAAAACAAAAATTTTAATACAAATAAAACCAAAGCTTGGAGTTCTTTCTTTTGGGAACCCTGCTTCTCTGGATCCCTAATCAAGTGTTAATAGAAAACCTAATTGGCTGATTAGCAGGAGTAAGTGGATCAGCCTGGGAATACTTCCTGAGGGAATGTGTGCAAACTTTTTAAGTCACCAGAAGATGATATGAAACGGGAGAAAGCCAGGGAGCGATTCAGATGGTGGCGTGGACATGTGTGGCTCCTCAGGGAACTCGACTCCCAGCCCCCTCCACTTCCTCACTTGTGAATAAAACAGGCCTTTTTAGGAATGCTTAGTGTGATTCCAAAATTGAAGCAGATGAAGGACAAAATTTGAATGTGCCAATGTTGCAGACTTCCGTAAAAAAAAAAAAAAAAAAAAAAAACAACTTTGCTGAGTGGGTCTTTTTTTTTTTCCTCTTTTTCTTTCAGGGTAGAATATTTATATCTCAACAAAAACATAATTTCAGGTCCATAGAAGGCATAAAAATTAACACAACTACCAAAGTGTAGAACTTGCAGTGAGAAAAGCAGTTCAAGTGTCAGAATACATTTCCATTTTTTCTGTCCCTCTTTATTATGGCTGTTTTATCCTAAAAGGCAAATGTTCTAAGTGGGAAGTGTTATTGTAAATGAGTTTGCATGATCATGAGTCGTCAGATAGGAAATGCATAAGACTTCACATCTCACTGCAATATTAAGGATGCAAGGTTATAGACGCTGAGCTCATACAAAAAATAAATGCAAAAACAAGAAAGGGTAGCCACTACCTCTTTCCCCATACAGATAATTCTACAAAGTACCATGTCAGCAATTTGGGCAAATAAGCAGAAGGAGAATAAGACTTCAGAAAGGGATAGCTGTGGCCCCACACAATAGTGATGAAGAACCAAAGGGTGATGCCTTCAACAGGACTGACAAATGATGACAAGAAAGTAAAGCAGCAGGAAGGGGATTTCCTGGAACATAGGAACCATCAGAAGGCAAGGTGGAGCCAGGCATGGTGGTGCACCCCTGTCATCCCAGTTACTGTGGAGGATGAAGCAATGTGTCAATGTTGCAGACTTCCATTTAAAAACAATCTCTTTAGGGCTAGGGTTGTGGCTCAGTGGCAGAGCACTCATCTAGCATGTGTGAGGCCCTGGGTTCGATCCTGAGCACCACATAAAAATAAATAAATAAAATAAAAGTATTGTGTCCAAATACTTCTAAAAAATAAATATTTTTTTTTAAAAAAAAACTTTTTATGGAAAAGGTAGGAGGATCACAAGTTCAAGGCCAGTCTAGGCAACTTAATGAGACCTTAAGCGACTTAGCAAGACCATATCTCAAAAATAAAAACTAAAAAGGGCTGGATGTTGCTTAATGGTAAAGTGCCCCTGGGTTCAATCCTTGGTACCAAAAAAAAAAAAAAAAAAAAAAAAAAAAAAACAAGGTGTTTCAGCACTAATTTAGCAGAAAAGAACAATTGTATGCTGCCCTGAAGACCATGTGGCCATGAAATTACTCCAATTTTATGAGAAGGATTTAGTGACCCAAAAGTAAAGTGTACCACTTAATGAATACCACTGGAGTCACTCTGGATGCTGCTCACCAGTTCCTGCTCTCTGGAACAGCATGTCACAATACTTGGTATTCATTAAAGACTTAAGTTCAAATTGTCATTCAGCACTGAA